CACTCTCAGTGCTATATTGGAATGAACCACATAAGTGCCATGGTGCTTATGTCTTTTTCGGCGAGTCACTTGACCAAAATTGCTTGTCTCCACCTGGAAGTATTAATGGTTACCTGTGAGGGTAGAAATCATATTGTGCGGATCGCAGGCTGCTGTGGAAAACTTGGGGTACCTCATGGCCCGGTGAGCAGGGGGTAATACGTATACATCGCTGAGAGGTCCAGTGTTACCATTAAGTGCTTAATAAGCACCAAGGGCATATTATTATTAAACAAATGAGGCTATTGGCTCAGGGCATGACCCACTGAGGGAGGCATTGTCCATTTAGCTTTTCGTGTAAACATTTGAAGATTTTAGGAAAGCTATTTTGATTGTTTTTACACCAGGTTGTCCGTTCCGTCATACCGACAGCAATCTATTGAAACAGCGACTTGGTGCTTACAAGGTCAACCAGTCTGGCATAGACGAGGTAGGGAAAGAGGAGTTTAATCAAATCATCCAAAAAGTCATCAACCTCATCACAGTCAAGTACTAGTCCATCACAAATCATCAAATCCAGTCCAAAGACAAGGCAGAAGCTAATTCAAATAAATGGCAATATTGGTAAGCATGGTTAGCTACTGGGTAGAGCACTTTCCTCTCACCACTGCTGCCCGGGTTCGATTCCTGTCTGAGCTTTTGGGTACTCCCTAAACCAAGATATATTTCTAACCCCTGAGGCTTTTTACGGGGGTAATTCAACAGCTCTATTTCTACTGCTCCAGTACATCTTTGCAATTGAGCCTTTTTTTATCTTTTACAGATCATTGATCTTGTCAACAAATCTCACTATCAGGTTGCCTGTTCCAAGTACTTCATGCTGACACATGGCGTAAGTTCCTCATGATGTGTAACGGCACAAAACATATTTAGTGTTGTTCTGTTTCATTTTTAACTTTGATATTGGCCTAGTTTTTAAAAACTGGTCAATGTGGAAGTTTTGGACTTCCAAAGTTAATGTTGGCCCCCCATAATGATACCATTTTAACTTAGATTTAATAATTGATAAGAATATTGCAATATGCAGTATAAGCTGAAATCCTGATTAAATTGTCCAGAGTATTCCGAAATGTCTTTTGTTACAACTGCCAAGAGAGTACTAGAATTTTGAAATAGGGTCTAGCCCAAGTAAAAGCTCTTCTTTTTTCACGTGGCTGTTGTTTTTTATCATTTGTCATATCATTTTTAAACAGAATGCCAAATCAGATGTTGCTATTCAACACCCGAACCAGTATTTTGAGGAGAGCCAGAAGATCTTGACCGGAGACAAGAAATATGAAGGTGAGTCACTTTCTGTATTGGATAATGACGCTCAGAATCTAGACTGATGATGTGTATGTCTCTATAAGCACATTATTTTTACCCCTGTTCATTGAGCTTATAAAGCATTCCAGTAACAGTCATAGTTCTAAAGGGTCGCAGAGGGTTGAATCTCTGGTGTCAGTTGACGACATTGATATTTTGTCTTTGGTTGATACCCCCCCCACAAATCGATGAAATTATTGGAAATACATTAACAGACCCAACTAAAGTATAATTTTGGCAGGTGGGTATTTAGTATTTGAAATCATGCATACAGTGCCTGACTCTAAATTCTCATTAAAATAAGATGTTTGGGGGGCCACAGGAAATTTTAGGGATTTTTTATTTATTTCCCGTTAAAAAAAATCAGGTTGATCTATTGACAAACTCTGTCAGTTTATCCGAGTTTGTCAGACCATTGTCAGGTTTCAGTTACAAATATAAATAATCAGTTCCTGGTATGCCGACATCATTACCAGTTGGGTGATTCAACAACTATCAAAATGAAAGTAAAAACCAACCCACAAGTCCGGTTTGGATGTTTAGTTTGACAATTTCTAAAATTTCATACCACCCAATTTTGGAAACGACACAAATATTCTCTTGTAACTCTTGGACTCACTCAATTAAAAAGAATTAAAAAGATTGATTGAAAATATAGGATAAAGATTTGACTGGTAACATGAATTGTCAAAAGCAAGTGATGATTATCCATTTTCTATTCCTTCTATCGGTCCTGTTTGTGAAAGTGACACGTTTCTACACAACCCTGCAGACCATGTTATGATCTGCTCTAAAACCTTGGTACATTGAAGCCAATGATGCCCGTCTATATTCATATTTATTTTGATGTACATGTATCAGAAGTGTGAAAGCGAAAAGGCCTCAACATGAAAGTACGTGACCCAGGCTGAATGAAATGCAGGTACCACCATTTGTTTGTGGTCAGTTCCAAGAATGTCCTCATTATACTGGCAGGTGCCAGGAATGTCCCCCCCCCCATCCTCCAGGCCTGAATTGAAACTGCCTGGGCCAGACTAATGAAATGCACCTGACCCTGACATCTGGTTCAGGTACCCCTTGCCCATTACAAATTTTGTAGGAGGACAGTGAAGGTTGCTTGCACAGCATTGTCTGCATATATTCCTTGCAGATGTTTACCAACATTCCTCAATGTCTCCATTAATCAATTCAGAGGAAAGTTACTACCATTACATGTAAATCTCACCCCGAAGGGTGCATCTGATAAACAAATGGCCTGCTACTGCCATGTTTGATTTAACAAGTATGAAAAATATTTCGTAAACACATTATGGAACCTTCATTTTGCCTCTAGAATAGGTTTTTCAAAAGAATAAAATCTGACTCAACAGCAATATTGCAGGCTTAAGTTTCAAAATTGCTTTTAGAAAATTTAACCATAGCTCTATCCATTAAAACCTTGTTTACATTTCTTTATGCACCTTCTAAATCAGCGCAGTTTACATACATGTACGTACTGATTTAAAATTGACCTAAGACACAGAAAAAAAAATTAGTAGATACTTGGAATCTTTCACTGATATTTTAATTAATGTTTTTACATAATAACATACAAGTACAGCAATTTTGTCTAATCAGTCTGTAAACAAGCGCAACATTGGAATAAAAGGAACACAAAAAACTAACAATCACTGACATTTGTTTTTTACAAAAACTATTTCAAAGAGTTTGCATATTTAGTTTGTTGAAACACTCCAGCTGTACTTAGCCTCCAACTCCTGGTACAATATTATTTTACAACCATATACATACACAGCTTAAAAAAACCAAAAAACCCCCCCAAAACAAAAACAGTTCACTCTTGCCGATCCATGCAAACATATATGCCATGCATGTACATGTACACACAGGTTCACACACATTGGAGATCCATTCACAAATGTTTCAACAGGATTAGAAGTTATCAATACTACATTACAATTCCCAAAAAAAAAAAAGATAAATAATAATGACAATTATGAATATTTATAGCACGCCAAATCCATCATTAAACAATGCTCAACATGCAACTATAAAGTATCTCAGCAAAGCTCTAACAAAGAGATGGAGAAAGAGAAGACCATTACATGAGAACTTTTAATGCAGGCAGAAACAAATGTGCCTAAATTCAAGGGAATATTAAATAAGTGTGTCTTCAGTTTAGACAGTTCTTGTGGTAAGTTCCAGTACATACCAATGTATACCAATACAATAGACCAACCATGTATATTGTATTTCTCATTGCATGCATGTGAACCTCTTTTAAAACCCTAACCCCCTAGGGTGTATGTAGAATCGTATTGAAATTGGAGGATTTGGGACTGTTAGGGTGAATAGCTGGTTACTTCAGATGTTTAGTTGTTTGTTTAGTAGGACTCTATTTAAGTCCCTGCATTTACCCCGGAAGCAAAACTTATATAAGGGTAATTTCAGAAATTAGGGATCCATTTTTTCTCATGTCCCTGTTACATCTTACATATGATTTTGTAAGTTCAGAACACATTTTCTAATTTCCAAGAGTAATGAATTAATGCAGATTACCTGCCAAACAAATACATATAGCAATAGTTTGAAATCGATTCCAGTGATATGTCCAAGTCAAATAACAAGGATCAGATGTAAAAGGGACACAAAAATGTCACACCTGATTCGAGGATTAAAACAAATCTTGCACAGCATAGAAATCTACAAGTTAAAGAGTCCACCAAAAAAAAAACCTTGTAATTCTTTTCTGGGAGTGAAATTGTATCCAACATTCTGACCTTTTGACCACTGTCACTGATAAATGAGGAAGTGAGTGCTGAAGTACCAGGAAGTACTGGTTCTGGTACCTTTCTAAAAGTAACTTGCAAAATATTGCCTGACTAGGATTGAAGAGTTTTGGGGACAAAAATCAGACATTATATTTTTGTTTACACGTGTTTAACATAAACATGTTGTCCCTGAAACTTCTTTTAAAATAGTAAAACACATAATTTAGGTTCCTGTTTATCAGGAAACATCACAGTCACACGGTTTATCCCTCTAAACCTGCTGCATGAATAAGATTTTGTTTCCTGCTGTTGCTATTGGAAACTGAACTGAACTGGAGGCATTTATTGAATGAACACCACTTCAAAGGGTACGAGTTGCATGCAAAAATAATGTCACTGAACCTTTTAGCATTCAAGCTGCAATAGACCCAATTTTTTTCTTTATTTCAAATTTGGAATTTCCCCAATTCTCCACCTTCAATAAAAATGGAGGGTCGGACTATCAAAATAGAGTATGTAGAGAAACGGGAAGCACAACTTTTTTTTCATTCCAACCCCAATTATTCAAGGTTTGTGTAAGCTGGTATATGTACCCACAGGTTTATGCAAGCTGGTATATGTAATATGTATTTTGCATGAATTTATTCCCCTGAACTTCGAGACAAAAGATATCAATAAATATGCAGAGTTACAAACTACAACCCTAAGTATGAATGATGTTTATACATGTACAATATACAAACTTATCTAACCACAAAGCCCACCTCTCTACCAAAGCCTACTTGTCAGAAGCACTTGCATCATGATCAGTCAGTTTGCTCAATCGCTCAATCTTTGCATGATCAGTCAATCTCACTGCATGATTGTTTGATAATTCTGCCAATCAGTCAATTGTCTTTTCTTTGTAAATTGACAATTGTGGAGGATTGTTTCAAAAAGGAAAGTACAGTTGGAGATTTCATACAAGATCGAGCAATCCTACAGTCTTACAGAGTGATCGAGCAATCATGCAAAGTGATCGGGGAATTGTGCAGACCATCTGATCGCACCCAACATTCATATTTGCAGCATTCTTGCTACCAACTATTAAAACATCAGGAAAAATATGGATGCACTCCCAAACTTTATAAACAACATAAAAAGTATACCACAACACTAACTTTAATTTCCTATTTTCTACAACATAAACACCGATAGTAAGAAACAATATCAACGGCAGCATTTACACATTTTTTCTGAATGATTGGATCTTATAAATACATGTTTGTCTACAGTTCTAAGGTTTTACAGTGCCATGACAGGAATTAAGAGAAAAAAATTAAGATAAAGTGTGTCCTCCGAAACTGGCAAACGGTGGCAGAAGCACCACATGAAATTCTTCTAAACAAATTAAAATAAGTACACATATATGCAGTTAGGTTGATGTGGGTGGGGTCTTATGAAACAACTGTTTATGAACCCAGGAAACTGTCAAGGACATGTTAACCTCATAACCAGCAGCTGTGCTATTTTCAATGACCCAGTGTCCTTAAAATAAGCAGAAGTTCACGCTTGTTTGTCACACAAGAGTGCACTCACATTTTGTTCCAAATGTGACGTTTGATTAGAGGGCGATGAAAGGAAGCTTGGATTCAACAACCCAAGGGTGAAGCATCTCTATATCTGTGCTTAACCCCTAAAAACAAAGCTATCACCAACTTGAAAAGGTCAAACATTTGTGAATAGAATCCTGTTTTTGTCAAGGTAAATTTGATACCAGACAACTCTCTTGATTAAAAGAAATTTGTGTCAAGTACTGCAGGGGGGTGCAGCATTATGTTGTAGTGTTAAAATAACTTTGACATTTACAAAAATCAAATTAGGACTTCAGCACTTGTACGTTTAGTACTTTTAACAAGGTTAGAACGTCTCCTAATCCACTTTGAGTGAGCTCTATGCATGATCTGCCTGAAATGTTTCATGCAGTTTGTTTTCATGCCAAAAAACTTTAAATGTGCTAGACTAACGGTCCATGCAATGTTTACAAAATATCAAGGTTGGGAATAGATGTGTCCGGCTGAATGTACTGGTACCATCTGTGATTAAAAGGTTCACCAAGAAGCCATTAAATATTAAAATGCATACATAGACATTTACCAGGAAAAATCACAGAACAAGAAACATGCAGGTTCACGCACACTTACACGTACTGTAAAAATGTACGGTGTACGAAGTGCACTCTTCACTTTTTTGTACATATGACGCATTTATAATTGAATCCAGGTACTCAATTTTACTTTTATATAACGATAATAGTCAGAAAACAGCAAGATAGCAATAACTGTTGTGTAAAATGCGTAGAAGTCTTTCTATGATTCCTCTAATTACAATCACATTTAGATACCTGTATTTTTAAGGGGGGGGGTATAATTTAACCCGAGTTTGATACCAATGTACAGGTACTTGATTGTTGTGCGTGGATTAAACATGTTAAATCAGTATTCATTTAGTGTACGTTTCTGGAAAAGGTTTTGTAAGTTTGTGTATTATCCAAAACTCTAGTAATAAGAAGTTCATGCACAGTATGAAGGCGTATACTTAAAAAGCAGTGCACTACAAGTTTGAATTTCTAACAACTTTTTTCCTGTGCCCCACATTACATGTATTTTACATTTTTGAATGAATGTTTTCTGAACTTGACTCCCCGAAAAATGAACTCCATGGTAAATGTATTTTACGAGGATATTGACCAAGATTCAAGGCCACATGATCTGTACTCTCTTGTTTCCTGAGTCACAAACCACTACCTGTCCCTCGCTGGTAGATGCAACACCAATTGGCTCATCAAACTGACCTTCCTCCATCCCATGCGTGCCTAGACTTACCGCAAATGATCCAGAGGGATTGTACACTTCAATACGGTGATTTCCGCTGCTGGAGACAAAGAGGTACCCAGTAGGGTCGATCATGATGCCTGATGGACAGTTTAACTGACCCGGACCTGTTCCCCAATCTCCAAATTGATAGAGGAAGGTTCCATGATTGCTGAACATCTGAACACAGTGTTTGCCTGAGTCTGTGATAAGAAGCTCTCCTCCTGGGGACACTACAAGATGAGATGGACAAATGAAGTTCCCCTCTCCTTGACCTTCCTTACCAATCTGCCGTAGGTACTTGCCTTCAGGTGAGAAGACCTTCACGCAGTGGTTGTTGGTGTCGCAAACAAAGATGTTGTCTGATGCATCACAAGCCACACCCAAGGGACCATTTAACTGTGAAGCTTGCAATCCTCTTGTCCCAAACTGAGAAATGAACATTCCATTCATGTCCCAGATTTGGATGCGGTGATTCCACCAGTCGGAGACAATCATCTGCTGTCTCCTGTTGAGACAAATGGATTTAGGAAACTGGAACTGGCCCTGCCCGTTGCCTTGACTCCCAAGACTCTTTACTAATTGACCAGCCTCTGTTACCATGGTGATGCAGTGGTGCCTCTCATCCACAATAGCCATGAGATTATGAGGAAGGACAGCTACTCCTGTGGGCCTTTCAAAAAATGACCCTCCAAACCAACCACTACCAATAACTGCTATTTCTTTGGCCCCATTTTTGCCAAATCTGCGAGATCTCGATCCAATTGTGTCAAACCTTACCCAAGTGCTCTTTCCACCCAAACTGGAACTGGAATCTGCACTCATGCTGCGTGGACGATTGGGTTGGGTGGTTTTGATTCTCCGAGGTGGCAGTGGAGGAATGGGTCCTTCAGGAGACGTAGCAGTTCCTGATTGTTGGGAACTGTTCGAGGCAGTGCTCAGAGAAACTGGCCTGTTCTGTCCCATGTTCTTTTCTCTGATTGGAGTCAGAGATCTACTTAAATCTCCAGATGCAGTTGTATGGCCTTGGCTGAAATCTATGGAGCCATGCCTCGTAGAACTGTTCAGTTTTGGTCTGGCTGGTATTGCTGGTTTGGCCCTATTTGGTGTTGATTGGTCAAAGGATGCATGCTTTGTCAGGGAGGGACGGGCAGCATCACCAGCAGCAGGTCTTCGAGACACAGGCACAGAGCTGCTCAGAATCTGACTAGGTGCAGATATCCTTCTTGCAGGGGTGGTACTTTCTGGAGGGTTTGGGGGCGTATTTAGGCTACCTTCGTTTGATACTGACTCCCCTGCTAGTGAGAATGGATTTCTGGTATGTGATGCTTCTGTCTGTCTGTTTGTAGCCGGACTGCTCTCTGATCGTTCTCTAGCAGTGCCTTCAGGGCTTCCAACTGATGATGGATTTCCACTGAGAACAAAAACACTACCAGTGCTGTCCTTGCCGACAGGAGTGCCTGCAGTGGATGATGAGTTTACACTAGGATTCTGAGCCTCTGCAATGGGATTCATGTTAGGAACAGTCTGAGAACGATTCCTGCTTGCAAGTTGAGGGGAAGCAGACCTAGAGGAAGATCTGGAGACCGAGGGGCTTCCGTCCTGTTGATGCACATCAGGCGAGCTTGCCACATGAGGAAGAGATCTGTTCAGACTGACCAAAGAAATTTCAGGTGCAGAACTATTCCTTGTAAAAACTGAAGGTGTGGCTGAATTGGTTGGTGTTGCAGAACCGTCAGGTGTTCCTGGTGATGTGCTCCCAGTGACAGTTGTTGCAGTGCTAGATGGTGGGCTCTGAAGCTGGAGTATGATTGCATTGCTGGGCTTACTACGATTCTTGTCTATGCTGGTGGCTTGCAAGATGCCATAGGAGTTGATGCTCACAGCAAGTTGGGTTCTGTTTGGATCCGTGAATGAAACCTCGTGCAAGTTTTCATCGATTGAGAGAGCATACTGATCAATTTGTTGGGTGTAGTGGTGACACATGGTCAGGAGTTGGTTGTACTGGTCTTGGGTTGGCTGCTGACTTGTTAGGATGGATTCGCGCATAACAGCAAAGTCCTTCTGGAACTTTTGGATGTACTGATAGGCGCTGGCCTTCTGTGTATCCATCAGATTCAACTCCTCCTTCCTCATCGCAGCCAACTGCTTGATGACAGCCTCTTTACGGATCTGTAAGTCACGGGCACGAGATTCAAATGCAGCATCTACTTGGCCCTTTACAGCGAGAAATTTCTCCTCAACTTTCTTTCGCTTTGTGTCAATGCCCGCCAGGTCGCCGGCCTTCTGCTGCAGTTTTTGTGCCAGTTCTGCAATTGCCTTCTGGACACTTTCATCTGCAGCTTTTTCCTGGGCAGGTTCTGAAGAAGATGTAAGGTTAGACTTTGTGGAGGGAGCAGACTTCTTGTGGACATCTAGCAAGGCGAGCATGGTGAAGTTATTTGGCAATTGGTAAGCACCACCAGGTGGACTTTTACATTGATGACGGCACTGTGGACAGGTTATCATGCCCTGCTTGTCCAACTGCACCAGACACACTCGGCAAAAAGTGTGTTGGCATGGCATCAGTTTGGGCCATCTTTCGGAGGAGTCAAACAGCTCCAAACACATTGGACATTCTAGTATTCTCTGCAGTTCTTCAGCCATGTTGATAGAGGATGCTACTTCAAACTGCAGCTCCTACTTATGGATCACCTGAAATTAAATGAAATTGTTATAATGAATTTTGAGAAATCCTGAAATTGTAAATAACTAAATGTGCTCAAATTTAACATTTTAAGATTTGGGAAAATTGAATGTTTAAATGTACGAAACTTATGACTGAAGTATGTTTCACTTTCAATGCAGAATTTTATTCTCCAATTACAGGATTATATAATTAAACACAAGTAATAATTTGTAAAACGTAACATGATATGTATACATTTCTCCTGTACAAAGTTCAGATCTTCAAAGTTCAAATTTTGGGCACTCTTTTGCATTATTGTGCAACTAATTTTCTGGTAATGTGTGGGTGTTTTAAAGAAAACCTTTAAACTAAGCCGTTTTTCAGTTTTGTTTATTTCATCAAAATAAAGCCTAGTATAAATGACCTGTTATCCTGTTATCCCCATGGGTCATAGGAGAGGAATGAAAACATACGTATTCATTTCCAGCTCAGAGAATTTGAAATCTGTGGACAGAATTTCCAATATCTTCAATGTGCTAAATAAAACTACAGACTACAAAAAGTGAAAAAAATATCAACAAATGAAGCTCTGCAGTCTAGGTATTTACACATAGCTGTGACTCGTTTGTACTTATGTAGGTTTAAAAAATGTTCCTTTTCGACCAGCCATCTTTGCGAACTGCCATTGCTAATCATGATAAAAAAAAACCGCGAGACCGATGATCAGGTCATGAAACCGAACTGTTTTCTTGGCCAACAAATCGTGAACTGCATCACTTCCCGACAGGGAAAAGGCTGCATTTGGGAAGTTTAGAAAATGTAGACACACTGCTCCGTAGCCCAGCCTGTAATTTCACGGTGCTCAGCTGGATGGACGATAACAACACGCAATACACGCTTAACCGTGTTAACGGACATGACGAGTAACCGTTATTATTCGGACTGTCAGGACATAAGGAAGTACGAACTCCGTAATAACAGCACAAAGTGTAAAGTTTGCCTACAACGTTATAACATAAATATTAAACATAAATATTGAGGAACTTACCGAAAGTTCAGTCAAATTTGGAAGTCAGGGCTTCCTGGTTTGATTGCACTAACCCTGCTTTGCCGCCTCTTCGACATTGTTCAGCAATGGAATTATATTGTACGTACCGCAACCTTTCGTAGAATGCGCGTGACCCGGAGCCCCACAATTACTTCCGGTTGACCGAGCAAGCACAGTATAGTAGTGTATGCGGTGCATGCGCGCCATGACGTCACACGCCTTGGCTGTCTATCAACCATACAAAATTAATTACACCCGACATTCCGGTTCCCGACTCCTTCGTTTTTTTTATACTCAAATTCAGATCAGAGTTTTTGTAATCTTTAAATTTTTCCCTTGGGAAATGCATCATATCTTACAGGGTTTTTTTTTCTGGGGATAAGAGAAGTTATTAATTATTGCCCGGTGACGTGAGTTGGACAGGTGGGACGGAAATACGCGTTCGAGTTTTGTTTTGCGTATTCAGACCATGAAGATTATGACTCATAGGTACTTAAGCCTCACCTTTGATACCATCCAAGCATGATTTCGCTCCGTGGTCGGATGAAAGTGCTGCAGCCGGACCTAGTTATTTTTTGGTGTCTTTTAGTGTGGCAGATATCTCTTCCGAATTAAGCGGTAATTCCTTACGTGACAGTAAAAACAGTCCTGCTATGGGGGTTTTCGGTGTGATCCAGTTTGCCCGCTCACACCAGTTTTAGCTCAAGAATACCAACTATCAACAGAAAAAAAGTTTTTCTAAGATGCAAAAAGCCCTCGAGTTAACTTCTTTTTACCCTAACATATCCCTGACCACCTAACCCAGTGTAATCTAGTTGATAGACTTGGGAAAGTCATGTCACCCGGTTAAAGTTGTCTTGGCGACTAGTGTAAACATCATTTTTGGCGACAAGAACACGTAGAAACGTCGGGTTTCAGTTTGGAGTGAGGCATTCAGACTTCTATCGTTTACGGTTTCATACTTCCCATCTCTGTTCAATTTTCTCAGCCCGTTGCCCTGGTACGATAAAAGCGATAATCAATACCCAGTGATTAATAATGCAATAATCAATTCCCAGTGATTAATAATGCGATAATCAATACCCAGTGATTAATAACGCGATAATCAATACCCAGTGATTAATACTGCGATAATTAATATCAAGAATCTCATCCTGGTCTTTTTGCAGGATCAGGCAGGTACACTTCGTCTCGTCCTCAGAGCCAAGCCGCTCAGAGCCCCAGGGTGTCCTCTCATCAGGCGACCTTGGACCCGTCCACGCAGACTTCTTCGTCTGTTCAGGATCAGTTTGAGGACGAGCTTAATTTGTCATTTGAGGAACTAGAGGCCATGGAGAAAGAGGCAATGGAGGGCGCTACTACATCGTAGGTGACATTTCAAGGAACGACTTTAGATCTCAACAGTCTCGGGTAATGAAAACTTTTTAACAGTTTGCAGGTTTAAATGGTCATGTACATGTGTAACGTGTAACTTGAACTCAAGGCTTGAGTTCGGCCAAATTCAACATCATGTTGTAATCCCGGTATATTTTGAAATTTTGAGAGCTCACTCGATTTAAATTGACACATTCTTTTGTATTATTTCAAAAAAGGTTTCAGACTTTCGATCTCTGATGCTACTCTGTGCACCCGAATTCTTAGTTGTACATTGTAGGCGTAACACATAGCAGTAGTGATATGCTCGCTTCACAAAGTATGGGCTGGGGGTCCAGATCGATGTGGTCATTTCCCTTGACCAGGTGGCCTAGTACATTGCATATGAAGGAAACTATGGGACAGAGAGAAACCCCCCCTCCGCCTTTGTGTTGGCCATTGTTACATAACTGTCCCATTTGTGCCTGGCCTAGTACATGTAATTCGTTTTAGGGTCAATGTAACGGCAAATCGATGCGACCAAGACAGAGTAAGCCCCCTTCATTAAGCACGCCTTCGTAGTACAAAGCATGCATTGCGAACATGTAAGATTCAAGGCTCTATCCTATTATGATTATAAGTTTATGTATTTCATGCCGTCAATTTCATATAAAATTCCAAGAGCTTTATTTTTCGGTCATGCTGGCGCTGGTTCCAGAGACTAACAATTGCACGCCAGAGAGGTAGACTGAGGTAACCAAAAACTATGAACAGATACATTTTCAGTCTCACGTTATTTTGTAGGTTTGTGTAAGAACATTAAAGTCAATAAACACAGTACACACAGCATATCTACAATTTATACTTTTTATTCTTCCCGTGGACGTGAACGTAGGTGACATACAATGACAGAATTATTTTTCCAGTTTATTGTTGAAAGTTTCAGGGGTACATGTATACATTTTTTTCCCAAGATACTTGATCGTCTGAAATGGGGTAGGTGTCATTGCTGTTCGAGGCATTGCTTATTAGCGACCCTTGAAGTAGTCATTCAAGACATCAACAGCTGCAGATTCCTTGCCGTAACCCTGCAACAAAATTGTGAGGACAAAAAATTCAGTTTTATAACCTATGTGAGAACAAACAGATTTGAAACATAATTTCTACGACATGTATCTTAAGTGAAGCACCCCTCCCCCTTGCACCCAATCGACAAGTGATTTGCATCCCTCTGGCATGATCCTCAGACAAAACATTTGGGTTCTTGTTTGGGTTTTCTTCAACCGTCTCCGGTCAGAAGAAGGAGCTTAATAGGTTTGTCATCATAGGATACTGGCAAATGGGCCCTGGCAGGATAAAGTCTCTCCCAGAAGGGAGCTTTGTGTTTATGTTCTTCAAATCAAGGATGTCCCATGTTATGTGTATATTTTGTTCAATTTAAAGGCTCACTCTGACGCATGTGAAATCAAAGAGTAAAGTAACACCAATTGAACTGTGATATTTCTGTCTATCAGCAAATGTTCTTAGGATCTTAATGCTTGTGGTCAGCATACCTTGACGACAACACAGCTGCACGCAACCACTTTCCTGGCCTTGCCTTCTCTGTCAATCTTACAGAGACCAGCCCACTCGCCAAGCTTCTTGTTGTCGTCAACCTGAACATTTACACATACATCCAAAAATGTCATCAATATTTACGAAATCTCTACCGCCGATATTTCTCCAAAAAAGAAAACAAAATCCTAGTAGACCTACGAATTGACAGTGGCTCTTGCAGCATAAAATTCATGTGTCTTAAACTGACATGAGGCATAACCATGTGGTTTTTGTGTTCTGCAGTTGGGAGGAGCATGGGTTCTCATCCCTGTGCCGACTTCCGGGGAATCGTGTCACTCCACTCTGGACTACAAATGGGTCTTGGTATTTGCTTGGCTGACCTGTAATGAAATATCCCATCCTGGGGAAATGAACATATTTTCGGCAGTCTGTGTTGAGGAAACTGAAAATAAACATCAGCCCGATGAGATATGAGAGACTTTCATTTCTAAAGCCCTCTCGGCTCTACCTTACCTTGAAGAGGTTGATGGAGTGTTCAGCACAGAGAGCTTCAACTAGCTTCTTGTACATAGCTTCATCACAGTTGTTGGCCAGGACGCACAGATGGGCTTCACGTCTATCAAGCAAAGAGGTGACGGAAAACAAACATACAGTTTAAATGCTGTACCTTTAATAGGTGGTCAAGATTGGCTGAGTTGTACATTCATCAATTGTTACCCCTGAAGAACCAAGATAAAACCCTGTCAAGCTTCACCAAGTTCAGTATAAGTATGCTGTTCTCAGAAATCAGCTCTTTTGATAATTTGCTGTTACCTGATTTAATTCCGATGAAGCAAAAATTATAGACTGATCATTTTTGACATTCTGGACAACTAGAATTCAACCTCAGACAAACATACTTGGGTTCTTGTTGGGCATTTCTTCATCTTTAACAGTCAGAAGAAGGAGCTTAATAAGTTTGTCATCATGGGTTAGAATTTAAGGTATCAAGAAGCAATCAGGAAACAAATATCCAGGTAGCAAAGACAGACGATAAAATTGAAAGAATTTTGTTATTAAATTTCCCCTTTTTATCCCCACAATTCCATGAGATAAAACTTCATCAATCATTTGGTTCTGCAAATTTTTAAGAATGCTTCCATCCTGCTTTTCGTTAAATTTCAAAATTCAATTAAATTTGAATGCCCACAGACCATTACAGTAGTGTGCGTAAGTATGAATTGGAATGTGTTACTTGTCCAATGCCTTGGTAGCCTCATGCAGACCTCTCGCGAGGCCATCATGGATGAGGGCAGTCTTCAGGACTTCTTGAAGGGCTGTGATCACGTCCATAGGACCACTGCCAGCAGCAGCGGCTGAGGCGGCGGTTGGTCCATCTCTGAATGTCAATAAAGAATGTTTAACTCATATTAAAACAAGGCCATATGGATTGTGGGTGGGTTTTCTCCAAGTCCATGGGAAGTCACGGATTTTAGAATATTTTGTAATAAAATTCAGTCAACACAAGACAATAAAGCCCAATTAATGGCCTTAATGGAGGTCATGCAAATGGAAAAGCACAGTGCATGGATAGAGGGTAGGGAAAAAGAGGGAGTATTTTACCAGTCAAGGAAATATGGCACTGCACATTTTAAACGAGACAGATCTTAAATCCAATTACTCATGATATGATGATGTACCATCAACCTTATTGAGATGCAAGTTTTTCGCTTGGTAACCATCGATCAAATTCTGCTTCTGGTCGATGTGCATGTACCCACACTTAGGGTACATATAACAATAGCCATGACTGTATGTACTTGCGCAGTTCGAAGCACTGGCCTATAATCAACTCACGTCAGAACCAAGGTCTGTGCTGAATAACAAGAGGTCAATCTCCCCCAATCAAATGTACCCTCGCTTACCATGCTTACTAGCTGCCAACCCTGGGTCAATTTGGAATTAAACTTTTTTCAACGATCTCTGTTCCTTTCATGTTGCATCATTCTCAAAAAAAGGACTTCCGCTTTATAGCCGCGATACTGCCAACACACAGGTAGACAGGGTCAGGGGATTTGGTAATTTACTTTTCATCAAACTTGATTCCATATTGTAGCCAGTAATTCTTAGGGGTGTATTTTCATGTGGTGGGGTATTCTGTAATTCCTCCAACTTTCCCGTGATGCCCCTCTACAATCTTTTAAATACGCACACAATATCCAACCATGCTAGTGTGCATCCGTCCTACACATTTTATTGTACATGTGTATGCACACCATGTACGAAAACCATTCGCACATGAAGACTTACCCTTCCGCGTCAGACATGGTTTCAGCGGACGTCCTCGCTGAAAAAATAAAATAACAAACATAGTCTTGGTCATTCGATCTATCATAGTACTGAGTACTAGATGGCGATGGTTTCGAAAAAGAGAGATATAGGTTGATTTTTATGAGCACACTTACAATGGTTGCCACCGATCGAAGTCAGAAAATAGAGAGAGGGCGCATGTGTGGCACAGACTCCCCGTGTGAGGGGGCTCTTCACAGTTTACGAGTAGAAGTCTGTGATGGAGCTCTGTTATGTTGGAGATAATTACACGGAATAGATGTTCAATTAAACCCTGGTTAATGAGCACTCACAGCACTCGTCGTTTTATGGGCAGTTCGCTATCCTGTATGATCAATTCGAGATATAACAGAGAAAGAAATTGTCGTACCAGTTGAAGCTTTGACGGTATTTACATCGTGAACATTTATGCTATAAAATTACGTTTTTTTAATAACTTTTTTCAGTCGAGGGGAGTCACAAGTGTTGAATGTGAATTTTCCATTGCTGTCCTAACGCCGCTCCCAGCGTTAGCGTTATTTTAATTCATCCTTAGACTTGAGACTATTTTGGGCTGATTCCCGACGGGGGATTGGGCGGTTGTCATTCATGCTATAATTATTTAATTCAATGATGATCATCCTTACTTCTGGGCCTGGAAAAAAGGTCACAATATGACTCGATATAAAGGTCGATGTTAATGTATATCTTTATTAATGTATTCCAGATGACATACAAATGGCCTTTAAAAATTGTTTCCTCCTTTTTGAGTGATATTGAATGCATTTGAGTCATTGGAAGTCTGAAAAATTCACAATTCTTCGTTTGCTCACCACAAACGGGGGGGGGGTTCAATAGCCCATCCCCCAGAAAGTGTGTGGGGGATACTAGTATAACCCATCCCTCCATGGGATTTACGTGAACAAAATAATTTGACACGTAGAAAGCGGTCGTGCACGCAAAACTGCAAAGATGGCTTATTTTATTGATAAATGTCGTGAATCTACAGGAGGGGAACTTAAGCAAGACATAACTGCGCATGCTTACTACAAGACTTCCAATCTTTAAGGTGTAGAAATGCATTACTGATGACTATAAGGGAAAATTGAATCTCCTTAAAAATAAAGGCTTTTTTCCTAAATATTCAATAAAGTCTGTAAAGAATCGGCTTTAAATGCGGGAAAACATCTTATTTGATACTGAATTGAAAGTTGTCAATTTTTCTTACATTTGTTGCCCTTATACTGAAGATAACTTAATTCATAGAAACGTTTAATTAAGATTGGATTCCCACAATGCTATCAATAATCTATGTGTCTCGTAATTAGGCCCTACCTAATCTTGTCGCCTCCAAATACAACATACTGCAGTGTCCTTTGACTTTCTTTTCTAAGTATTTTGGAGTACCACGACATCCAACTTTCAAGAGACTTTATCAAAGACAAGCACACGAACGGTGGGCAATAGTTACGGTGGTGAATAAATAAGCGAACTTGCTTAGCGTTGAAGACGGCATCTAACTATAGTATTCTTCGGCGGCAGAAATACAGGCCCAAACTGCGGTAGCACAGCGCTCGTGGACATGTGTTTGGGGCTTTACTTCGACCAATAGGATTTCGTGATTTGCCGAATGCACGCGCGCGTCAAGCTGAAGAATGCGCATGTGGCCTTTGGGTGCACTACTGTACACATGGCAGTTATGATGTCTATATCATTCATGCTGCTTACCAACAGTTCTCTGATGACATTTTGCCCGGGAAAAACCCTGTTAGAATTCTTCCCTTTCTAAACAGCTCTCTCTGAGCCCTGGTTCATAATCCAAAATAACAAATTAAACCAAAGCCAGAACGAAACACACCGAGAACATTTTTCTCACGATTCGCAATAAAACCTTCATTTACCGAACGCAGAGCTGTACAAGCTATACAAGCACTATAACAATACACTACGCGTCGTAATGTTTACAATATCCCCATAAATATTTCGTTTCGATTCATACAGATACGTTCCTCTTTTGACAGTCTTTTTTCAAGTCACAAAAATAATATTGCATGCTTAGTTCTTTAGTTAGCTATGTACATAATATTATAACATAATTCAAATGTACCACACAGCAGCCACATTCTACCGTCGCTTCATTTACAGATTTGGTCTTCTATAGACAGACTACCACATAAAGAATCCACACACAAATTATAAAATTTGTACAATAATTATGTTAGCACTTTCAAATCATTTTACCAAAAAGACTAATTTCAAATAGCAAGTCATTAATAAAACATGCCCCAAACAAGTGAAGTCAATAGATGCAAGTTTTTTTTCTTTCTTTTGGACTCAATCAATCCAAAAACGTACCCAGCTTCTCTAAATGAGATTAGACAGATATTAAGATTTCAATCCAACCTTGAGATGATAAAGATGTGGCATGGCTTTTATTTGATTCGACTTATGTAACAGTACTCACAGATTTATGACAAATCTGAGATTTCTAGAAAAGAGTGAAACTGAATGCGAAAGACAAATGAATATTGCAAGACAAGCACGAAATCAATTCCATGAAAACAAAGACAGATATTAAACTTCTGCGCAAGATGAACAATCCCATTATTATGTTAGTCTTGATGCACTGATCATGTGTAAGGCACTAGCTATAGGTTTGGAATTTGGGACCTACCCCGACTTCTGAGCACAATGTGCATAGATCTGGTCTCTCCCTTAAGTTGGCTTGGATGAGTGCTGCAAACAAGAGTGGATCCGGAGGGGGCCAGTGGAGATGATGCCCCCTCCCCCAAATAAATAAAAAATAAAAGGACTTTTTAAGGGGGGTCTATTTCATCTTCATTCCTTCCAAAAGCATGAAAACCCCCCAAATGTAGTCTCACCTTCAGAGAGGCCATAAAGGTTATGTGAAATAATTCCCACATTTTTTTTGCCCAACCCCTTCAAAAGTTAGTTCTGGGTCCACTCTGGTGCAGGACTCAAATCTGAAGATTCTGCCAAAATTCAGGATAAGCTCTGATGAAATTGCTCTCAGCATTTAGGACTTACAGTTGTTTATCAAGAGTTAGCTTGAGGATGTTACGAGAAAAGATTTCAAGTGTATTGACTAATGAGAGCTGAGAATGAGACTGGTTGAGGAGACAGGAAGAGATTCAGGAACTGCTGCGGGCTGAGACTAAAGTTGATAGCTAGCTCTGGCCTCTCCTTAAGGCTGGTATCTCCTGCAGGCAAGAGTTCCCTCGTGCAAGGATGTCCACCATTCTGAACAAAAAGGAGACAATATAGGAGAAAAAACATGGTAAAAAATCTCCATGGATTGTTTTGAGCTTCATTAAAAAGAAGTGCTCTTTCTTATGTTTTAAATGCCAACAGGTGTCTTCATACCATCCAGAAAAGACAGTTGCAGAAGCCACAGATTTGCAGCATGTCTGTATACACCTCCTTGAGTGGATGCCTCTTGTGCAGCTTTCGGTAGACTCCTTTCCAGTCCACTTCAATATCATCCAGCGGACACAACTTGGTTATCTGTTGACATATTTTTAAACAACCACCAGACTCAGTCTTGATGTAAACAAAATACTTCAGCACATTACTGAAAACGCTTCCACTAAAATGGCTGCCATCAATGTTGGTTGCCATGGTCACATGCCTGCATTGCTCTCTAGTGGAATCTGCGGTAAGCATTCGCTTTTAATGAATGTTACCTGATGCTCGGTGAAGTGGAAGATGCAGAGATTTCTCCAGAGGAGGTTGTGGGTGGCTAGCAGGTGTAGATGAGAGCAAGTCCTGTCTGTGTTGATGATATCTCTAGCATCGCTGAGGTGTTCCAAGATCCTGCCAAGGACTTCATCTGGGAGTTCCATCAACATCATCTTTCCATCCTCTTCTCTCTATCAAGCAAATTAAAATGAATTACCAAATGTTTTGAATCGTGACTAATTACATGGAGCCAACTATTACATGCAGACTGGCCTCTTGAGCCCAGTCACGGTGGCCGACAATCTGATGTTGTCATGTGTACTGAACTGTGGGATGTTAAGACTTCTTAGTCAATGCTGTTTTACAGTGTAGCGTTTTATGTCACAAACCTAGACAGCAGCATTTTAGAATCAATGTTCCTTATTGTCCTTGTAGAAAATGATACACGTGGGGATGTAAAGCTCAAACACCCAATCACTGTGTGCCCTCTTCCAGCCAATGATCCCCTCCCCCAGCCCAAACCCCCTCCCCTCCCCAGCCAGTCCCCTCCCCCCATGGATGTTTATTATTTTCAAACTTAGTTCATTTCAACAATATAATGGAGCTTGGTTCTTACTTCCGTAAGTTGGATGCTGTTCAGTTTGTCCAGCCAAGACTGCAGCATGCCCATGCGTTTCTTCCAGGTTGCCTGGCAACCGATGTGAGTGGAGCGATTCTCATTCATGGCAACTATTGCACCGCAGAGGATTCGTCTCAACTGTCCAGGGTTGTGCTGCTTCTTGTTAACTACATTGAGAAAGTATAAGGAACTTTGGATCATATTAGGTTCAGAGGAAAAAATAGCATTGCACCGGGTTCACCCTGCAGGTAACCTCTGATCGACCTTTGAACGAAATTCCTTTCGAAAACTTGGGGAAATGTCCAATAGAAAGATGCATACCGACATGAAGAGCTTCCTCAATAATGTAGAAGAGATTCTGCTGTGCTAGGCCACTCAGTGAGGTGAATCGTGTGGTGACAATCAGTTCCAGAACCTGAGGATAATCAAGGACAATGTATTTCAGTTCTTAGATTCAGGAACCTAAGAATAGTTAGAAACAGTAAGTTCCAAGTCTAATATCAAGTTATTATATCCATTCAGTTTCTATTGATGTGCTTTGTTGCCTTGCGTTTCGTTTGAGGGAATTACAAATGGGAATGAATTATTTTTCTTGTATGTGTGCCATGGTTACCATGGCAATAACAGTAACTGCAGTCAACGGATGTAAACCAAGTAATGTCTGACACAAAGCCTGATTGAAATGTAAAAGTGACAGTGTTGTTAGTTACTCACTTTGCAGACATAGTTGAACCTTCTGTGATCTTCGACGGCACTGACAAAATCCAACTTGTTAATGATCTCACCAAGAGTAGAGTAGTTGCCTCTTGCCTAAAGGAAATGAGAAATTGAGACTTAACACCAAGTTAGATCAAAGATGCCCATGCTTGAGTTTTTTACAGGAGTGTTCTCAATGAATCTGAAACTATTGAATTTCTGAATGAGAGTTAAGTGATTAAAAAGGTTTAAACAGAATATTTCAGTAAATTGAAGCCTGCCAGTGTTTTTCTCAGACTTGAGAAAAAATTCTCAGATTCTCTCAGACTCCAAATTGATGAAAGAAAAATAAAATTGGAAATAAAAAATCCACACTTCTAATAAAATAGAATGAAAAGCCTTACCCTAGCATTTCGGGCAATCAGCACAAATGATGTTTGTGGCTTGTCTGTAAAGAATAGAGAATTTTATAATATATGTAACTGAATTATTTATTGCAACCCCCCCCCCTGCAAAAAAAAGAAAACCACAGTAGGTGCAAGGTTGGCTTATTTGATGTATCACAACATCATGGAGCTAATTATAAAGCTCTCTCTCATTATCAAACCAATTAATTGTAGCTTATATCACTGTAGCCATGCTTGCTGTTTGCAGCTCAGTTCTCTGCTACACTCACCAATATCTTCATATTTCTGTCGCAGCGCCTGGTTGATTGCTTTCTCTGAGTGATTTTCAACTGCATCACAGTTCTGGCTCTGTGCCACAGTGACGTCAATACCAGCTGAGCCACCCTGATGAAGACCAGTGCCAGAGCTGGTCCCCTCACCAGAGGACAAGTCCTTGCAGGAATTCTGGAATCTGGAGATGAAAGTGAAAGGAGAGATTTATTGATAAGAACCAAGCTGCAGCAATCTGACAGTCAGTCTAAGCCTATATATCAAAACTCCTGGTAAAAAAAACCTGAAAGTGAAGTGGATAGGATGTATAGGTTCCCAGAAATAAAAAAAATATATCAGCAACAGATAGGGATATAATTTAAAACTTTGTACTTTTGTTGTTAATTTTATTAACACAACCTTTCAAAAACTGTAACAGTTTTATGTATAATTTTAAGCTGTATCTGTGTACTTAAGTCATGTCACAATAGATCAAATCAAGATTTGATTCATAAACCTGTATGACTGAAAAACATTTGACAAATATCAAAATGGCAAAAAAATGACGATTCAACTGAAGAACTCATTTACTATTCACAAGGTCACCATGCAAAGAAATTAACAAATCCCTGGTATGCAGAGGCTGCTATATACCGCTCAAACTCATACCCTAGTACATGTGTCTATATATGGTCATCTTAACACCATACATGGCCAACCCTATCAGGCTCATTTGCATATTTCAATAGCCAGTCATCTTCTTTCCTATTGAAATACCCTGGATGGGACTACAGAGACTTGTGTCCTTGGGCACTGTGGTGACAAAGGTGGAAGTCTATTTATAAAACAATGACATCACTGAGTTGAGGTTTACCCCCACCCAACTTACAAAAACTCCATATTTGGGCATGGAGGAATCCTCCATAATTTTTTGGGGTAACAACCTGCCCATTCTCTTCTTGCATTCTCAGAAGCATTTTCCACTCAGGAAAAATGTTGAACAAAATTACAGATTCTGAGCCAGAATTACCAAAATATTTTTCCACAGAAACTAATATCTCCCTTCATTGAAATCTTTGTTGCTAGCAGTATTTCTATATAGCCTTGTTTATGACAAGTTGACTATACGATGTATATTCCATGCTTTATAACCATCCAAACATGTACCCATTTTATAATCATATTTGTTCTGTGTTCGCAAAATTTTATCATCATTGTAACTTCACCTAGCTAGTATTGGTAAATGTACACATACAGTGGAGTCTTAAATATAATCTTCAAATCTATAGCTTTGCAGATATTTTTGCCTTGATAAATTAGACATGAAAACTGTAAAATACGATCTGAGACCGTGGAGCCAGAGTGTCCCGACAGCTATTGTGTAATCATAATGCAGGTTGATCTGTGGGCTATGAATCAACACAACAGGTGCCCTTGATAGGTGTATAGCAGTCAATGGCTGCTAGGGAATGACCAAATATGGTATCGAGCGTGTGCCACTGGAGGTGGTTGTTTGCTCTCCTATAACAAACGCATGCAGGTGGTCCTGGATACATGGCTGAAACCTTCCACTGTAAACCCACGACTAAAGGGAGGAATATATGTCCTTCAGTCATTCATGACACCTTGGGAATTAACTAGTGGCAGCTCACAATAAATTTAACTTGTACTAGTCTCTTCTTCTCCAAAGCCAAATGTTAACATATGTCAAAAAAATTCTAGGTAATTCATGTATTTCTGTACATTTCTTTTCAGAACTCATCTGAATGGCAGTCAAAGGCAATCAATATTGAATATTTTGCCTAAAAGCCTATTCTTTGCTGTAATGAACATGCATGGTTAAGTGACAGTCCGACGTACTGTATGCACGGAGCTAATGTTGGTCAATCGATCAACTTCTCTTTTGCCAACGGACTCTTAAAACAGATGCAGTGCAGTGCAGCTTTTCAACAATGTTTCGTCTATGGTTTTGACCACAGGGTTAACTCTACATTCGTTTACCTGTTTAGTGTGTTAACTGGATAAAACATAATTCAAACCAATTTATGCCGACCTTACATGTACATATTTTAGCCAAAATTCAGTTTCCAAGATGTCTTTATGTTGTTAACTCTTTGTGTCAGCTTGAATGAATATCCAAAATGCATAAATGTATATAAAGTTTCGGTGAAACCAAATAAAGATACCAAAATCAACAGGTGAAAAGCAAACAAAGCAGGTGGCAAGAGCCATACAGGATGCATGTATTTTTCATCTTTCCTGGAGCAAAACTTAACCTGCACTGAGATTGAAACCAGTCAATGTGAATAAAAACACAACAGTTATATGATTGTTTTGCAATCAGTATTATTTACACAGAATCTGAAACTGACGTCATTTTTTCACTTCTTGTACTCTGCTGGGCAACTGATCTTGGCATGCCTGGCATACATCCAAGTTCAATCAAATGCTTTAATATGTTGTCTCTTCCTGGTTAACGTATTTCATGGATCAATACAAAGAGCTTGAAGGATATCTTTTCTATTTTTATTTAATCAAAATCGGAAATATTTCTTTTTCTTGAATTTTTTCCAAACATATTTATAGTGACCAACCTTTAAAAAGATTGCCCACGTACATGACGTAATACTAAATGTTTAAACATGAGCTTTTGGTGAGTGCATTTCTCCTCTTTCTCTACGGATACTACGGCTGTGCTGTTCAAGTCCAGTTCTACTATTTTTCTAGCTAGACTTTTTTCACTAACCTTTCGCGAGCAATCCTCTTGATGTGTCTGTGTAGATTTTCTCGTAGCGCAATCAGTTTTTTCCAGCCTGATGCTGTCTTTACCCACTCATTTCCAGAGGACTGACCGTCAAAACTATAATAAGGCATGATTTCTGGCTTCCAGTGTTCAAGTCTGGTTGAAATATTTCATCAAAAAACATGTACCATGCAGAGGCAAGACAAGGACTTCCGCAATGCAAAGCGTGGTCGTTGTTTATGATGTGCCAAGCTCTGGCGCAGATGGTTTTTGTTGTGATCACGTGCTGGAATGAATCATTTTCCCAATAGGGGTGTCCGCGGTTACAGTTCTTTCATCAACATCACGGGGTTATTAGTAAATGAAACGGTGCTTCAAACCATGGAGGAAGGAGCACAGTAAAATTAAATTCGATGATAGTAAACCCTCTGCACAAATTTTGGCTCAAGACGCAATTAACGCCTAATATGGAAACTGGTGTGGTGCGCGTGAATAAACCAAACCATCTTATGATTTATTTCACAGTATATTTTTCGAATTGTTTTCAATTGATTTTTTGAAAATGAATTTTTTATATAAACCGTGAAAGGAAATCAACTGTTATGTAAAACATTTAATTATACCTTCTTAAAAATGAAAGCCAAATCAAACTTCTTGATACTAAATTTATAATGAACATTGTTTCAAAATCGATATTAAATGGCGGCCAGTAAAAACAGCAATAAATAAATGATGAATCATTCTGTCTTTCCATTACATCATTCCGTATAATCATAACGAATGCCATATATGGCATAGAAGAATAAATTTACATAATTGATTAGTATGTTTCCCTTCAAAAGTTCGCTTTGTTTACAGACCATCTTGGAAGGGTAGCTAGACTAAATGAGTCAACCAAAACAGGTACGTCATTGTGTAACGCGGCGCGACTGCGCACTTATGTTTACTACAATAATGGCGTCACGCAACGTGTGTTGTGTGGTAAACACAGCAATGTTTGAGTAGAATTATTTCAATAAAAAAGGTAAGTTATTGAATTTTTATGACGATAACACTTCTAGTGTCGGGTGTACCTTATGTTGATTTAGACTAGTTTGTTGTTTGGATCTTTGACGATAGGATTTTTTTAATCTTTAAATTGAGAGTGCGGGAAAACCATGTCACCCTAGGTCAGCATTATGCGTTCTTTCTGAGTGATTTACTAACTACACACTTGTGCATGTCATGATCATGGGCCAATTTCTTAGCGCTGCTTAATTAAGCACAGAATTTGCTTAAGCGGGAAAAAGCATTGCTAAATAACTAAAAGTTACCAGCTCAAACTCTATCTGATTGTCATTGCTAACCAAAAAAAACAGCTAAATACGATCCCCCAAAAATATGCCTATGAATGGCATCACACGCTTACCTACAAATGGAAAAAATTCTAAACTCATGCGCCACTTTTCCAACACTAGTAATTGTGCACGTTTTGCTTCTCATAGAAACAATCATGGCGGCCTCTACTTCATCAATTTCGTGTGAAGTGTAGCGCATAAAATTTTCCCCAATTCATCAAAACCCACGGCACGGTCAACTTCCAAACACACCTTAAATGATTTGTAGGCAAGCGTTTCGTAAATAGTGCTTAAAAAATTGCAGAATAGCTCGGGGAAGGTGGCACATGAGTAAGGAATTTTGCCCTACAAATCATTTGAGGTGTGTTTGGAAGTTGAGCACGCCGTACATGTACATGTAGGTTTAGATGAATTGGGGTATACTTTATGACATAATTTACATGATATTGATAAAATTGAGGCCGCCATGATTGCTACAATAAGAAGCAAAACATGTGCACAATAGTGTCAGAGACATGGTGCGTAAGTATGGAATTTTTTCCAAACTGAAGGTTCAAATTCAAAGTAAGGGGCCAAGGAAAATGTGATAATAAGCATGATCATCCTTAGTAGGCGTCAAGCCCATGCATTGTGGGTTAAAACGATGTATCACATCACGCGGCCAGGCAATAAATCCAGTGAACACCTCGGCGCCATAAGGAATGAAGTTTTGTTAAAATTGTAACTGCACGTGCCTAGTTTCACCACAATACGATTATCAAAACTTTAGATTTGCTTTGGTTCTTGACTTTGTCAGTGAATATAATTGCTAAAGGCGATTGAAAAGGAGAGACGTGCATTTTTTTAGCTCTATTTTTAAATGTCAAGTTTGTTTGCAAACAGATTCACAGAAGTAGGCCTAGTTGCTCAAACGAAAGGATTAAAATGGAAGAGAAGATATGTGAATGGTCCATAGAATACTGTAAGAGAGACTTTAGTGAATATTTAAAGAAATAATATCGTTTCTTTCATTATTCCAATTTTATTATCAAATCCATTGTCATGTGCTGTCAAATCCACGCCATAAGAAAGGCGCCTTGTTTGTGCCAGAGTTTCCAAACACTTTCAATCACGGCTGGGGCGAAGTGGAAATAGGACAAAGTGGCAGCGGGGCGATGTGGGGACGGGACGAAGTGGGCATGGGTGAGGTGGCAGTGGGGCGAAGTGGTTTAGGGGCAAAGTGACATGAGGCGAAATGTAAACGGGGGGAAGTGACCAACTTCCGTACGATAAGTGCACATGCATGTACATGACGTAGAGCCTACATGTACGTTGTTTACTAAGGAGTAGGCCTGGGCGGGCATGGTAGGCTGCTGTTCTTCAGCATGAAATGCTCTATTGACACATGTTATATGAGATTTGTTCTTGTTACCTTCTTGTTTATAGTGGCTGTTATTACAGGAACGGCTGCTTATTCTCCAATTGGAAAAAATTAGTTGAACCTGGTTCAAAAGTGAAAGTGAAATGGCTGACGAGAATGTTGAAGATGATCAACTGCAGGTGATGTTTAAGAAACTGCGAGTGGATCCAGCTTGGTAAGACAGCAGGTGTCATCAGTTTACAGTCCTTAAATGAGGAAGGTTATCCATCAGGAAAGCCCTTAATACCCAATCCTGTATCCATGGTTACGAAACGGATGGTATCGTCCTTGCATTTTTTGACTCTGAGTGAAGTTGACCTAAGAGCAAATGGGGATATTCATTTTGTGTATTCCTTTCTAAAATTCCACTGATAAAATAGCAAGCACCTGTGAAGTGTTAAAACAACAGTACAGTAACATTTAGTCGGTATGTAGAGGTTATTGTACTCATATTTCATGTATTTGAAACCATATTAATCTCAAAAATGTTTTTGGCATCCTTTGGGACAGAGGGGAGCAGTGTCTCAGTACCTGGAATGTGCTAGACCTTGATGCTTGAAATGTTCTTTGTCAGCCAAGCCTATAAACTGATGAATCTGTATCCCTCAGGTCCTCTGTTGGGTCAGTCAGCTTGCTAGTTCCTCACACTGAGTATCCGGTGGACAAACCAACCAAAGCCAGGAAGACCGGCCTGAGAAGGACCAGCCTGCGAAGCGTCAAACACAAATTCGAGCCATATTCTACAAGCTGCTGCTCCCTGGGCAATAACTTTGGTGACTCTCTGGGAGCCACCGATAAAGGGAAATGCAAAACAGCAATCTGTCTCTGCTCTAACAAGACCGATCAGAAGAAAGCAGAGAAGGAAAGTGAAGCCCAAACTACACAGGACAATTTGAAAGAACAAGAGACATCATCTTTCCCCGAGGAACTCACGTCAGCTTGCTGTACCAGACCTCTGATTTGCTTCGAGGCATTCCCCTTGCCGGCCCTGCCCAAGAAAAGCAGCAACTGGAAAGACAAGGAAGTTTTTGGTGCTAGCTCAAGTAAACTCAAGCCTCTATCCTCATTCAAAACACTGGCAACCATTGAAGAGGAAACGGTAGAAGCAACTGCAGCAGCATCATCGCATGAGTGGCTCAGTGAAACTTGTGAGTCTGTTCTATTACCATGCCGGTGTTCAACAGCTAGCCAGCAGTGTAAACCTTCCACAAAACCTCTACGTAGGTTAACCAGACACCGTAAAGCCAAACTAGAAGGCAGACTCCAGTCCTATGGGTCTCGTACTTTTGCAACCTACAGGGACAGTGCAAGGCAGTTGATAAAACTGGGTCCCCCAAGCAGTGTTCAGAAACATGCACCTTCTGCCAAATCTCCAGGCAAACCCAGTGCCTTGAAGCCTGACTTGCCTCACCAGGCCTGGACACAAAATCTCCTGGCAATTAATAATAATAATGCAACATCTTCACCACCTCGGTCAGAGTTTTCTTGCTCCCAGCAAGCCCGCTTCACTCCTGATATCTCCTTTGATGACACAACAGCTGACGATTTGGCCGGTTACTTTGAAAATTTAGTTCATATTCCCAAGAAAATGTCTGAAATGGCAGAAATGATGTACACATAGCATGACTCCCCTGTGTATATGTACATGTACCCTCTTGTACAGGTGTTAGCAAAATACATATTTTCCAATACAGAAAAGCTGAGATTAGAATAATCAGCTTGCTAGTATCTAGAAAGTTGCCTGCTAACATCTAGACAGTTGCCTGTTTAAAGTCAAGCCTCCTGCAAGGTGCGGAATTGTTCCTTGTTTGGAGATGAGTCTTACTGTTGGTAGGTTGTGCTCCAAGTGAAACTGCAGAAATTCAGAGAGCCCAACATTTTTTATCCTTCTCGTGACCCAAACTGCTTTGGGGTGAGTAAGTTCAATTAAGTTTATTCAAAAAGTAATGTTGGATATGAGCTTTATTGACAGTGTTAGACAAATGACTATGATGCCACCCTTTCCAACTGTCACAGTTTGGAAACAATTTGGCAACAACTTTTTAAACATTTCTAGAACAGAGTGAGTTTAGCAGTTGCTTTCTTGAAAGTGTATTTGCAACTGAGTTAAATGTGTTTTGAATTTTAAAAGATGCATAGATATGATTGTTTTCTCAATTGTCAGTTGAAATCTTTTGCAATCTGAATATTGTTAACTCAGAAGTTTTATTTTGTGAGGTCACGTTGTGTTTGTAATAAGCTCTCAGGAAGATGTGGACAGGTGAAATATGAATACGTAAAAATGTGTATTTAGATCTTGAAGTTATGGGGGAAAATTGAAAAAAAAGCAGTGGTCTTTTGGCTATGATGTATTTGGTAATGAGTTGGCCACAGAATTACATGTAAGGTACATGTAGAACTGAGTGGTTGCAACGTTTACATGTATCTTATGGACTATACATGCACATGTACATGCATTATGAAAATGAATGCTGGAGATAAAAGTAGTAATCAGAGTCCAGAAATCTGTGAATATACAGTATTGTAATTAATAAGAAAAGAACACTGAATCTTTATGTACAAATTAGAATTTGCAAATGATCAGAATGAGAAAATTGCAGTATTGAAAAAAGGTCCTGAATTGCACAGTCAAGTAATTTCCTTTACAAACAAAGCTAGATTGGAGCTTTCAAAATACTTGTGTGAAAATATAACGTGTACTTTCCAAAGCTATCGCCATTTTGGTATGAATTATGTTCTATAGCTGAAGAAAGTAAACTTCATGTTGTGAAAGCAATGTTTTCACTCCTTGACAATGGTTTTGTATTTTTTTTCTCTTGGTGAAAATAAACATCAATTTAATAGTAATTTGAAGGTTAGTAAGGTCCCACTGTGTCAATTACAGAAAACCTGTTGTCTTCCCAGGACATTTGAATGAACTTGTACCCCTGACAATGACGCACATTTACTTCAATGTTTTGTTATACACCATTCCTTGGTTTAGAAAAGAATCTTGTCTACCAAGGTGGATGCCTGAAATCGGACTAGACATGAGTGACATGCTGTGTTACATTAAACCAACATGTTCGAATCTGGCCTCTGATTCATAATTGCAACTTTTAGAATCTTTGGTTTCCTGACAGGGGAACTTGATGACTGTCTATAAAACGTGTGAGACTGCCATCATTTCTGGCATTATTCCAAGCATTATTATCCCTCTGCTCTGTTTTGTAGAATTTTCTCATATTTTATATTTGCAAAATGCACAAAATAGATATGCTTATTCATATGGAATGAACAGTAGCTTTGTTTATTGTAAGATCATATTTTGTTGTAAAAACTAAGACTGTAGGATGTAAAGTGTTAGTTCAAAATTTGTGTTCACACTTACACCTAGTTTGTTTCTGTGCTGTGTGGTTAATTTATCAAATTATAACTGTATTATTACCGAACAGTTAGGAAGCCTTCCTTTTTTGTTTGGATGACGAAGTACATAAACAAGTTTGCAATAAAATCTTGATTTGTTAATTTTGAATGATTTTGTTTGTCATATTCTATCTTTATTTCGCCTCAACAGTTCTGTTTTGCAATTTTGTAACATCTCTTGAGAGAGCCCTTGACGGTGTCTGAATAAGAAGAGGGGCCGACTGCCGTAGGGAAAGGGGAACATTTGTGGTCCGTTGGAATCTAATAAAATTTCTCCTCTTAGCAACTCAGAATAGCGCCCTCAAGAGAATAGAATCTTTTGTCAACAAAAATATTTGCCCAATATGGCGCCCGACGAATCACGCATAAATGGTCACATGATGAAAAACAAAGTAGTTCTTAATTATCAAATGTTTATTTCTATTTTATTGGAATAGGGTTTAATGAAAGCGTTAACAGTTTTATTTCACTTAAAATGTCACGTTATGCTGCATTTTGGCCACTTTCAGGGAAACATTCTCGAAGGTTTCAAGTCACGCGGATGGTTATCATGTTATTCTGGGACGCATTACGTCACGAACAGACGTTTTCCTATCGAGAGCGGGTTTGGGGGTTTCCGTAGCCGAATTGATAGTTTCAAAGCCAGTATTTGGCTGATTTTTTGGTCTGTTTTTATTTTTTATAAGCATATAAAGTCACATTGTGACTTGAGTTACACACGCAAATTTGTAGTGGCAGGATTTGATCATCGGAAAGAGGCAAAATGGGCAATCAGCGGGGCTATCCAACCTGCTGTTTCTGTCTTCATGTTCGGACAGGGTCCATTTTGATTGCGTTATGGCACATGGTAAGGAACTTTGGAAAAAATGTTGCATCCTAACTCCACTTCAGCAGTTGTGTACAAAGTCTATGGGGAGTGAAGAGAATTTTTTGAATATTTCCCAACAACATCGGTAAATGTTTCTCAGTCCAGAATTCGTGTCTTTCTAGCATTTCTGTAATGACTGATGATGATAAAAGTGGAGTCAGGATACCACATTTTTCCCTGAACTTTATTAACACATGATTAATGCCTGTCATGTCTGTAAATCTTCACGTTTGTCTGCAAATGTGCTAGACTAGGAGAATTTCAAAGTTGCCGTTTAACGTTTAGCCTACTCGTAGAAGTCCAAATCATGCACTAGTGTACGCTACTCTGTCCTTGACGTCTAAACACATTTGTCATGTTTGTGCCCCATTTTATAAGCCTTATTGCAAATACTGCATGGGTGATTTTACACAATGGTAGAAAGGCATTGTGGGAAGGAAAAAGGAGCAAACATTGCCCCGTTTTCCTTCCCACAATGCGATAAGGCTTGTAGCATGTATAGGGAAGTTCATAAATTTTTAATTTCAACTTGGTCTTTTTTTTCTTTTTGACGTGATTTTGGAGAGGATATCATAAGAAACATCTTGATTATAAGTTTGGTCATTGGTTTGCAAAGCAAAGAAAAGTTTTGAGATTTTTTTTTTCAATTTTTAAATTGAATCTGGCAGGTTGGTCAAGTATGTGCCATGATTCTGATTGCCACCATGATCCTGAAGGGTAATGATGACAAGACTTCTAGTGGAGATGGCGGGTCTGTCTTCTCCATCGAGAACCAGCATGATACTTGTAAGTCTTACTGGGCATGCTGGGTTGGCTTGATAACTCTGTGCTTGAATTGTTTCAAATTCTTCCCAATGCTTCCTTGTAAAAAAAATTGGATACGGCTTCAGTTTTTGCATGTGTTGCTTAGAGCGATGACCACTGCTTCAGTCCTTCAAAATTCTTTGGCCATGCGTGTTGGTGTGTTGAGGCAATGCGGATGATAATCTGGAGCAGTATGGATGCTTTCTAATATATTCTGGGTCTATATTTACTCATGAGTGTGTGTGGACGACACATGGTTTTGCCCAAGACCTTGATACTGTGCACCGTTTGAAACCAGTCACATGTTTGTTATGCAGCCTCTAGATTCCTCCAAATCTGCCTCTTATTCATGGATTATTCTAGAGGATTTGTGAAGGTGAGAGTTATGGAGTCTTAATGTTTGATCTGACTTCTGCAGCTGACTACTGTGTTGGGCTGGTCATCGTGTTTTGCTATTTCCTCATTACCAGTATGATGATCAAGGGAGTAGCTCAGGTAGGTTCCATCAAAAGGAGGATTGTATCCCTCGTTAGTCTTTGCAGTAATTTGATTCAAGTTATATTTCAAAGTTTGTTGCAGTCATTAGTATATTCGGCTAATAGCCGGCTTGCAATTGAAACAAAATCTTGGAAAGGAGGGGCATTAAGTGTCTCAGGATGCCGAGAGTCATGGTTGGAAATAATTGGAGATGTTTTAGTCAATTATAACTATGAGTGATATTTTCATTTTCATGCTTACTTTCCTTCACCTTGTATTGCTGGTTTTAAATTATCTAAGGTGCAGTATGTTCTTGATTCTTGAACAGGTGCAGTATGAAATGCCATAAGTGATTGTTTTTTTGCCCTGTCCCTTCAACAGTACCAGTCCAGCTACCTGCTGCCCTTCTTCTGCCTGCAGCTGTTTGATTTCTTCATTACTTGCTTGACAGCAATTGGCTTAATGTCCTACTATCCTGACTATGACTACGAGGACAGTGTAAGTACGGTACAAACCCCAACAGCCAAGATCCATGAGTATGTGGTGGAAGAATTCCAGTTGTTGACATCACTGATTTGCCCTGCAGTGACATGTTATTCATCACAAAGAGATAGTTCCCCTAAAAAGACAAATTTAGCAGGGAACATATTGAAGCATTTATTTGAAAAACATGAATTTTTCAGGTCAGTGTCATAGGCTTTGTGTACTAGTATTGTGCAAGATATAAAAATATAATCCAGTACTTAAGGAAATCACTTGGGTCAGTAAAATGTGGAAGGAACTAGTTGTAGAAAGGAAACATAGCTTGAACATTGGGTTTGAAAAATACTTGTGTGAATTTGTTTGTATTATTCAGCAAAGAATTGAAGTTGATAAGATTAGACCTCATCATTACAGGGCAAGTTCCCATACAACCAGGAGTTCATGCACTGGAAGGAGCGTCTGCCAGTCAGCAAGTTTGACCTTGACAACCAGTGGTTTGTGCTCATTGCTCTGGTCCTCTTCCTGGTCATCATGATGGTCAAGGTGAGAAGGCTGCCCAGCTGCCTCTGTTTTTATTCTTGAACTTCGTACTGACAACTTGCAAGCCTATTTGTTTCCTCGCTCTGCTTACCAACTGAGAGACACATACATTGGGCTCACAATTTCAGCATGTGTGAATGCCCAGAAAGAGTGCTTTGTACAAATGCCTTTACTTTTTCCTTATTAAAGGAGTAACATGCCCTTAAAAGTCAAATTTAGCAGAGAAAAAATATCGAGGTACAGTAACCACTTAGAAAACACAATTTCTCACAAGTCTCACAGGGTTTTTGCAAAGGGTGTCAAGCAGCATCCTTTTATGGACTTATTTCCGAATTCTCTTGCAACACTTTAACCATAACCCTGCCAGAAACAGCACAGTGCATCAGGTGAAAAAGTTTGATGCACTTTGATGCACTGGGCAATCGACAGCAGCCGAGCAAACTGGCTATGTTGAGACAATGGGAGCTAGTCCTACTGAACAATGCCTCTGTTGGATCTTGTGGTGATTGGTAACCACAGACTCCTAGGCTGTTTGGCCTTAGGGAGAGTTGACCTGTAGGATCTTGTGACTGGCAACCAC